TAAGTCAAAGTGAATATATTCTAATTAAATAAATAATATAATTCCAAAAAATGTTTATTTATACTATTATGTTATACTTTCGTTTATTAAGCAAGTCAATCGGCAATATATTTATAACAAAAATGCATATTTATACTTATATTATATTATACTTTAGTTTATACTGTTTTGTAAAGTATGACATTTCACATTTCAATTTAAAAATATATATAAAATATATATATAAAAAATAAATAATTGTCAAATCATTAAATTTGTATAATAATAGTCTTATTATTCGTATCCGGTATTTTTAACACTTGTATTATATCCACGAAAAAAAATCCCTCGTGTGTGTGATTGCAATACAATAGACAATGAAATGACAACGGTCTATGGATCGTGGCATCTCGGCCACTCTTCAGACTTAACTATTATCAAAGAATGACATAAAAGAAAACTGTCCCATGTTCAATGATAGCTCATGTATATGTTACGACGACAGCTCTAGTGTCAACAAAGGTCCCTTTTATTTATTTGCCCCCATGTTCACGTTGCACACAAAGTAATGTGTTGTGTTTAATTCACACTTATTAGTTATTACTCTATGGGACTTTTGATGAGTTATTATTGATAAGCAATTAAGAATATAATGTATAGTAAATGCGCTCTATTTGTGGAATAATGTATTTCATACGTACTATACGAAATTGGGTGAGTTATTTTGATTTATGTACAATGTAGTATTAATTCATCTTTAGTTTACGAAAGGGTAGCTATTTCAATTTGTAAGTACATTTAACATCATTCTAATAATTCTTTTAAGTGAATCATCTCTAGACTAAGGGTGTAAAAAGAGCCGAAACGAGTGAGTCCTTAACAAGTCACTAATAACCTTGAGTTTAAATGAGTCGAACTACGAAAAAAATATATATAAAAAAATCATCTTTTTAAACTTTAGTGAACCTTATTTAGCTGAGCTCACTAACGAATTGATTTGTTTAAAATTGTGACTAGTTGAAAAATATTTATCATACTTTTGAATATATACATACTTTTTTTTTTGTTTCATCAAATTATATAACAAATCAATAATATTTTTTTTTTTAATGCCTATAAATATATTGACATTAAGAACAACATACATGCATCTTGACATTTGATTGTTTCTGGGAGAGAGCATTATGAAAATTAAATAGCCCTCTCGTGTCTAATCAATAGCTACAATTTGTGGTAGACAACATTGTGATCTACCATATCTCAAGAGATTTAAAGCACAAATTATGTCTCATAACAAAA